TTTTTGGCAGAACTGGGGATTGAACTCAGGCCCTTGCGCTTGCCAGGGAAGCGCTTATTCAACTGAGCCATCTCCCCAGCCCCTTACACAGAAATTTACAAATCAAAAAAACTTGGAAATCAAACCATATACAACATTGTAGCAGGGCAATCCTATGACATTTTGTGACATGCTTACATTTTCCTTTTGATATAACATAGACCTTTTAACCAAACTTTTCTATCTAATGCGTAATAATTTTTCACCTAATTATTCTTAAGTGGGATGTATATCACAAGGCTGTTTCTCTCCGCCTTATTTTATCTTACTTTTTTTTAGGAATTTGAAAAAGTCTTAGCACAAGCAGTTTTTGTTTAATATTTTAGAAGACCTGTATACTTGGAATCATGGATACACTTAGAACATCATGAGATTAACAAAGAGTTACCATATACATGTGCAAAGATTTGTATCTTAATTTGTATCTTAATTTAGTTGACTACCAAAGCCATTCCTTAAGAGGAAACCGAATTGTAATTTTTTTGAAAGACTTTTATCTTTAAACCAATGACCTGGGGCCGGGGAGATGGCTCAGTGGAATAAGCGCTTCCCTGGCAAGCGCAAGGGCCTGCGTTCAATCCCTGGTTCCACCAAAAAAAAAAAAAACAATGACCAATTTATTGAGGGTGTCTCCTAAGAGATTTATTGAGGTTATTGGGAGCTCCTCATTAATGAGCAGAAAGGTTGGCCATACCTCCTATTCATCAATAGGACTCCTTTCTAAATCAAATTTCTCCCTACTATAGGGGAATTTTTTCTTGATTAAACTCCTCCCCCACTGCAGTGCTGGCCCTGTCCCCAACTCATGCTGAGACGAGACAAGGTGTGGTGGCACACACCTGTAATCCCAGCTCTTGGGAGGCTGTAAACAGGCGGATCACTGCAAGTCCAATCTAGTAGTGAGATCCTGAACACCGTGTAGACCCTTAACTAAAATAAAGAATAAATAATAAACAATAAACTTTTCTTTTTTCTCCCCCAGAACCAGAGATTGAACTCAGGCCCTTGCGCTTGCCAGGCAAGCACTTATTCTACTGAGCTATCTCCTCAGCCCAAAATAAACTTTTTCTTTTCCTTTTTTTTCCAAAATAAACTTATCAATAGACTGTATAGGGGCTGGCGAGATGGCTCAGTGGTCTAAAGCACCTACATGGAACAAGCTTGGCAAAGCACAGGGACCACAGTTCGATCCCCCAGCACCACATGCCAGCCAGCCCCGCCCCCTGGTGGGCTGAGCTGGCCACACACACACACACACACACAATAAATAAATAAAAATTAAAAAAAAAAATAGACTGTATAAACCAATTTTGATATGACTTAGACCAGCTGGTAACTTAAGAAAAAGTGTGCTTTTAAGCCTGTATATCCCATGTTGTTATAAATGACAGAACTCAGGACCTCACACTTGCCTGGCAAG